CCCCCTCTGGCTCCGCCACTGTTGACTAACGTGACCTGCCAGAACTGATGCTGCGCTTGATTTTCACAAATTTGACACTTTTTTGTTGTTTGTCTTTTTAGTGTCATAATTAAGTGGTTAAAGCCAAAAAGAAATTTATTTTAATTTGGGTACTTTTATGTTTACATTAATACATACATTTATATTTATGAATAAAATATTTCGCCAATAAAATTATATATTCCTATATTCTATATTATAATTACAATGAGAAAAAATAACAAATTAAATCACAATGTTAAATCAATGTTTCTGTGTTATAATATCTTACAGGCTACACCAGGGCTGTTGCATCACAATAAGTGTATTGTGATTGTCAAAACATTTGGTAACTAAACAGAATTTCATTAAGTTTACAGCATGTTGCAATGTTTAACTGTTTTTATAGTGATTGACACAAATTTCCCAATTTAAATTCATAAGCTTGCGATTTGATTCCGTTCTTAATTCAGCATCGATTTATTTAGATAAATATCAGGGACAGTATCTACATCTTATTTTTTCTCAAGGAAAAAATCTCCCAACTAATGCTGTAAACATACAGGGAAACCTATCAGCTGGTACTATTAAAGGTTAATTAGCCTAACTCACATTAATATAATGCTGTTTTTATACAAACTATTATTTACATATTATTTTTATATATATAATTAATACTCCTCCCTATAGGCCTAGTTAATTTTTCTAGCTAACTAACATGCGATGGTCATTAAATGGCTTTCCTGGGGTAAATGTAAGGAAGTTCCCTTTCGGAAGGGAACTCGCACTGCATCGATGACGCTATTGGGAAACGCCCTCAGTGTTATGGAGCGCGCTTCAGTGAGGCTTCAGCTGCCGCGGGAGCACGTGAAGGAAGGAGCTGTTACCGGCAGGCTGGATGAGCGGTTCCTTTCTGGCCATAACTCCCCAGCTCCCGCGAGCCTTCCATTCCTTCCTGATCTGCATATTGAGATCAAGAAGGCATGGAAGAACCCATATTCTGCACGCATCCATTGTCAGCAGCAAGCAAACTACGCTGATGTCGAGGGGATGCGTGAACATGGGTATGTGTCGATGCCCCCAATCGATGACACGTTAGTGAACTATCTGGCTGCTGGAGAGGCATTGGCACTAAAAGCTCTGGCTCTGCCTTCTAAGCCACTAAAGATGACATCTCGCTTGAATGGCAGGGCATACACGGCAGCAGGTCAGGCTGGGGCTGCCTTACACACTATATCAGTGTTACATGCATACCAAGCCGACCTGCTGAAGGATTTGGATCAGGGGCAGGGTCTCTCCCCTGACGCAGTGGACGAGCTGCGCCGCACCACAGATCTGGCTCTTTGGGCCACCAGACAAACCGCTGCTTCGATTGGAAGGTCGATGGTAGTGATGGTGGCCACGGAGAGACATCTGTGGCTGAACCTGGCTGACATCGGGGAGAAAGAAAAGGCTTTTCTCCTCGATGCCCCGGTTTCGCTATCTGAACTTTTCGCCGCCTCCGTTGAGACGCTGGTAGAAAAGTTCAGAGAGGCGAAGGCGCGCTCGGCTGCATTTAAATCATGCATTCCGCTGCGATCCGATTCCATGCCCATACAGCCATGGGGCCTGGCCCATCCAGGTTCGAGGATCGGAGACAGAGCCAGAGGTTCAGTGTCGCCTCTCGCGCTCCACATCATCCTACAAGGAGTAGGTCGCAGAGAAGGCACGACTCGAGGAAGAAGAGGGATCTGTGGGAGCTGATCCATCACAGGCGCTCCCAGCGTCAGTGAAGTATCCCCTTCCTCTGAGGGTGAATAACAACCATCCTCTCCTCTCTTCTTCCTTTTCCCCCTATTTTCTTTACCCCAGGCGTTTCTTACATCAGGCCTGAGGCCTGGACCGATGATGATATTTTCCCATTAAACGGAATGCTTCTGAAGGTCTGGAGTTGGGCTTGGTAGTGAGCGCGCCCTTTCTAGCTTTTGGGTGGTAGGCCTTCATTATAAGAATATAATTAAGGCCGCCGCTCTACGAGCAGCAGGATGATCTTGGTAGGTCTTTATTATAAGGTTGTTTAACTTTAGACCTTGGTTCCCTGTTTAGAAAGTATTAAGGGGTATGTTTGATAGGTATTAAATTAGGAATTTAGGGCCCTGAAGTTCCTGTTTTTATAGGTAGGCTTGCATACCTTATCATAGCTCTTGTGATAGAGTCGTTATAGCTTTATGTAGTAGGTGGTGCCAATCTTGGTCACCCAGTGAAATGTACAGGTTGGCTTCATATCATAGAGTGATATCCCAATCTCTAGTGAGGCCACCGTGCATGTGAGCTTCAAACAGGTTTTGTTCACATGAGATGGCTTCCTCCCATTTGGGTTTGTCTTCTGAGGCCACCGCTTTGTATAAGCTCCAGATAGACCAACCAAGCGTTGGCCCTCATCGGGCCACCTTGTATTTGTATAGCAGGTCTCCTCTCACTTCTGAGAGTTGTTATGAGACTATAGCTTTGAACTTCAGACATAGGATATTCAAGTGCCATCCCCACGAGGGCTGCCTTAATATCTGGCTTAGGCATGTGTACTAGGAGTTTGTTGGAGACGGTCTGCTAGAAGCTTTTTCATCCCGAGCCCCTCAGTATCTGAGCGTAGGCTCTTTAGATTTAGATAATCTACAGCTTATCTCTGTAAGGTCTAGTTTTTCCCCTGGTACTGGCCTCTTTCTACAAGAGTCGTATAGCCCAGGCCCGCCTCTGCATTAGGGAATTATGCTAGTGGATGTTAAGGGTATAATAAATAGCAGCATAGGTAGCAGGCTATTCCTAAGCCTCCCATGCAGATATATTCTGGGCGTTGTCAGACTTGTCTCTCTATGGGAAGAGAGAGTTGGAAGCAGTAATGCTGAGGTCTCCGTTTACACAGGTGTATATTGTAGCTAGAATTTCCCCGCTAGACTTTAGGTTGGATATCTAGGACCCTTGAATTGGTTTCAAGTCATAACGTGAAAATATTGTTGGCCTCAAAGCTGAGGCCTCCATTTCCCTTGGGCTTAGTGGTTTTTTGGCTACCCACAGCTCTAGTCTATTCACCCTGTACCACTGGGGCTCTTTTTAATACTCCCTCCCATTGGGACGAGTTTGAGTACAGTTTTATTGACCACTTTCCACGGTTTAAACACTGATTGATCGATTACATGAGACATAATACATTTCGGTAAGTTGAACTGTATCTTTCAACATACCTTATAATGTTCATTCGTGTTTATTTACTAGTAGTAAAGAGGAAGAGATGATCAGTGCCGCTTGAACTGAGGCACTACAGCGATCGTCACAAGAGCGCAAAAACTGTATTTTTTGAATTTCGTACTAAAATTTACAGAATTTGAAAGCTGAGACTCTTGTTTCATATCAAAAGTAACCTTCTCTGCCTTGTCTGTCGGTTTCAGTCTCCTCTTTGCTGTGTGAGAAAATGGATGTGTGGCGTGAGAGCTGGCAGCCCTGTACATGCATGTAACTGATTGGTAATATATTTTCCCAAATATGAAAGTAAATATATTTAGTTTCAATTTCATTCATTTGTTTTTGTTTATTAAGGCTTCATTAACATCACGGCATACACATTCCAATATTTGCATAAGAAACTTGAAGGCTGTTTGATTCATTATTTCACAGAAAAAGACAGTCTGCAAGAGATAGTCACAGTGTAATTAATTACTGAGCCAGATACAGCACATCCAGTAAAAGCAGCATAACATGGTCATGCAAACCAGTCAGTTTGTGTTCATCCTTCAGAGTTTGGCTTTAAAGATGCATTAAAAACGGGTAAGTACTGTATTACTGTTCTTTTCACAATGGTCATAGGAGCCTATGAAAACTAGGATTGTATAGGCTTAAATAAAAAAGGTAAACTAGCGAATGTCTGATAATCATTACCCGTAAACTTAAGATGTTGTTGCATTCAAACTCTGGTAGAGAGTAAATTGATGGTAAATCTGTGGAATTCTAGGAATTAGTTTTTCTCATTCATTTAATACATTTCGGAAATCTAAAACATTCACACATTCCACACATTTTCAGGCTCCTTTTGAGCTCTTGCGCAAACCTGATTTGGTAACCTATCCACTTTTTTAGCAACGCTGAAGAAAGCTATTTTCTTTAAATGTGCGAGACTTCCGGTTCATTTGCCGCAATAAATAAATAACTAGAAGAATAACAAAGTGCAGTAAACGGTGAGCAACAAACCAGTGTGTTTATGATTACGATAACTATCAAACATTTTCCTTATAAAGTAATATTATGCTTATATTGTTATCATTACGACCACAAGTTAAAGGTAGGGTAGGCAATTTGTTTTATAAACACTTTTTGTTATACTGCTTGAAACTCTTTTCACATCCTGATAGCAATCAATAATAGAAGTGATCTAAATATTAAAACATGTAGGCCTACATATATATTCTGTGGGAGTCACAGGACCAAAAAAATGTTTGTCCAATCATTGCATTCGTTCCGAACGCCACAAAGAAACAGAAGCCACGTTTAACAGTTCCTCCAGAACCAAAACAACAAGCTTATGCTGCGTTCACGCCATGTCGTAACCGCAATTATAAAATGGAAACCCGCTAAGTTCTACCTGGAGCTGTTCACAACCTCAGACTCGGATTTATGCGTTTCTATGTCAACACTATCAACGGCGAAATGAATCTGAAGCAGTCAGGTGGTACAACTAGAGCACAAGTTGTTTATGTTCATTATTATTGTAACATTATGTGCTTTAATACATGAGGTAATTTGACACCGTCTCTGTTCTCGCGCCGCTTTTCAGACACTGCTGTGTGCGTTCATGTGTTTTGAAGGAGGGTGGGATCTCATGCTTTCAAAGCTAGCTTTATTGCTAGCCTGTTCAAAATTGCCTACCCTACCTTTAATTGGATAGGCTACATGACGTTAACAAACAATGTACTATATAGCTGTATACTTTGATACACTCATTGCTGGCTGATAACAGAAAACCTACTAAATTTTGTACAGGTACAATAACTGGAATCGAATGACACTTGAAGCCTTACGCATTCAAGTTACAAATGACCACACTCATTCTTACGTTAAAAATAAAGTGGATACTTGAATTATAGATAATATTGGATACCTGGCACCAAGGAAATACTTGGGCAAGGCATCGACAGGTAAGCTATTATCATTCTTAACAAGAGAATACCGTGTTAAATGCCATCTTTTATATCAGTAGCCATATAACTCATCCATCCATCCTTGGTCTCTGTAGTATCTCCCGCTTCCACGGCCTTGCAGCGTGTCATACAAATCGTTGGTCACAAAGCCGCTCTCAGTGCTGGCCAGTGTCACAAAACCACTTTCAGTGTCCCGGCCTGCCAGGTTGTCATAATCTCCGGGTGGAGTGTCTGGAGAAGAACCCAGGAAGGAAGTGTTTTTGATGTCAGGCCGTGTGCCGGCCAGGTCTGATTCATGCTGCCTTCGGATGACCTTGTAGACGTCAGGGCTCGGGCTGTTGCATCTTTCTCCAGCGGCCCAGTATCCTGGATCCTTTGGAGGGGTCTCAGTCTGTTCTTTCTTCCTGCATGCATAGATTATGTTTTTTTGCTATCAAAATTAAAATGGCAGGCTTTCTTTAGTGAAGAGATCAGTGAAACAACGCACCTCTTTGTGAACAGCTTGAAGCAGAAAACTCCAGTCGCCACAATCAGCAGCAGTAGAAGTGGTATGGTTGGCAGCACAATGTAAGCGATATTGAGAGCATTGTCTGAAAGACATGCAGGATATTGGTTAATATGAAAAGTATACAGCCTTTAAACACCATTCAAAAGTTTGGATTAATGTTCTTATGTAACAGCATTACTCCAGTCTTCAGTGTCACATTATCCTTAAGAATAAATAGAAAGTTCAAAAGACCATAATTTATTAAAAATAGAAATCGTTATTAGAATTAAAAAAGCCTTTACTGTTACTTTTGAACAATTTAATGCATTCTCACTGAATAAAAGTATCCATTTAAAAAGAAAAAAATCTTACTGACCCCAAAGTTTTGAACAGTGGTGTATACTTTTTTTATATTTTACATTTTTAAAAAACACACTCCAGGTATTCAGTTTTCCAGCGTTGATTCAACATAGTTTAGCGGGGTCCAAACGTCTGAGACCAAGACTGAAAATATGCCTACAATTCTTACTCAAAAGATTTTATTATAAATTATATTATCAGCATACCCATTTAAATGAAAACTTAAAATTAAGTTTAGTATGGTATGTCAATGTGTTTAAAACCTGATGATCATAATATGCAGCATGATTTAAAATGATCCAAAAAGCATATCTTGTGCTTCAGTTGAAGCAACAATGTCTGATCATCTGTACAAAGAGTCACGGGATCAATGACACAAATTTACTTATTGATTAGTGACCTAGAAATAGTGCAGACATATTTATCTCCAATCTATAACTCATATAACAACTCAAACCTGTATGGCATTCATTCATCTTCGAAATGAACAAAGATATAACATTCTCTCTTTTTTTAATCTATCAATTGAAAAAGTCCATACAACCTAAACTTTCACAAATTAAAAAGTACAGAAAGACATAGTTTTATACAAGCCTTCTAAAAAGGACCAATTGAGACCAATTGACCAATGAGAGTCTTCAACCATGTCTGAGAGAAAAAGATTCACCTGGAGGTTCAGATACAACCACCCTCATGCCATCATCCTTCTCTGTGACAGAGGGGTATCTGGGTATTCTGGGTGTCGGAAAAGCATCTGTAATATACGAGAATTAGGTTTTCGTGTATTATCTGGTGTAAGACATCAATAAAACAGCACATTAAACAGAAAAAAGTATTAAAAAAAGAAACAAGCACATACAAATAAACCAATAAATGCAGACTTTCCCATATTTCACAAATGGTGGATTAAAATGAATCCATCCAACATTAGGCCAGTAGTTCTCAAACATTTTGACTCCAAGGCCCCCCTTTGTCCAAGACAATATTTGAAAGTCCTGCTTTGTAAGCTGATATGTACGTTTGATACTTTTGTTGTAATAAAAATTAATAAAATCAAAAATATCAGTTTAATGATGTACATGTTTAGTTGAAGTATTTTGTTTAGCATTGTAATTAGGATTACCCTTGTGAAAAAGAAGTACACTTTAGCATACTTTAAAAAACCGTAGTTCACCCCAAAATGAACATTTTGTCATCATTTACTCCCTCCTCAAGTTGTTCCAAACCTCTATGAGTTTTTTTGTTTGTTCTGCTGAACACAAAGGAAGATATTTTGAAGAGTATGGAAGTCAATGTTGCCCAACAACTGTTTGGTTACCCATATTCTTAAAAAGACAACTTAAGGGTGAGTAAAATTATGACAGAATTAAAATTTTTGGGTGAACTATGCCTTTAAGTGCGAATTGGATGTAATGTAAATCTAAAATTAGTTTTGTTTTAAAATATACTCAAAGATTTTTGACATTTGATCACTTCTTTTTCACAAGGGTATGTTAATATAACTAAATTTAAATAATTTTAAGACTTATTGAGGCCCTCCTGAAGTTTCCTGAAGTCCCCTACTGGTTGAGAACCACTACATCAGCTGTCTTTATTTTATAAAATACAAAATAATTTGTACTAATTATGCAGAGCCACTATATTAATATACACATTAATAAAAAAACATTATATCTTAAGCTTACCTTTAAATGTTTCATTTTCTGCAGGGATTGGGGCTAGAGGTTTATCTGAAACATCACATGATGACCATGTTATATCACATACTAAACAGCGGTGCGTTTCCCAAAGCCAACTGGTCGTAAGTTCCGTCATTACCAACAGAGCAAAACTTGCGACCATAGTTGGCTAACGATGCTTTTGGGAAACGCACCCCAGTTCTTGTTGCTCTAGGAAGCTCTAATCAAAAATTTTAAATGTGAATGGTAAATGATCCCGAAGTCAGGATTTTGTGTTCTCCAGATATGTGGACTCTTCTTCAATGTAAGCGAATGGGATTTTTTTTGCTTTTTTATTGTTTACTAGATGGAAATCATAAGCCTGTTTGCTTTAAAAAATAAAAACACGGTTCTCTTTATAAAGCTGCACCGTTTTCAGTGCAGGATGAGTTACATGTAAGGGATAATGTACATCCAGCCGGTTGTTATCGCAGAATAAACCCCAACAAGGTGATCAGGTCTTAATTCACCCTGAAGGGGTTTATTCTGCGATAACATCCGGCTTGATGCACATTATCCCGCTTATTACATGGCTACTTGCCACATAAGTAAATAATTAGATAAGAAATAGGCTATTGATCTGAGTTGAAATATTTTATTAGCTCTTTAAACGCAAAGCTTCCGCAGAGAGAGCAGTTGCTAGCAAGTGGAAAGTTCAAACTAGACAGACATTTAAGGGATAAAGTACTGTAATAATAAATAAAATAAAATAATAATAGCTAATAAAATATTAAAAACTCAAATCAATATTTTGTGTATTAATTGTGTCATCCGGTAATGCGGACTCGCTCTCTTGTTTCATACAAATGCAGCTGCTGCCAATTTGTGACGATTGATTTGTACACTGTATAAAATAACAAACAGGTGTCGATTTTAAAACAGTTTAATCTCAAATGAATATCTCTTATCCCCATAATTATTTATGTGGCAAAATACTGTGTAATAAGTGGTATGACTGTACCGTATACCTTAAATGTTCATATAATTTATAACTTTGAACTTGCCGCTTGCTAGCAACTGCCTTCTCCGTGGAAGCTTTGCGTTTAAAGAGCTAATAAAGTATATGACTCAATATTTCGATCAGTGTCTAATTATTTACAGCAAGTAGCCGTGTAATAAGCAGGATAATGTACATCCAGCTGAATTTTATAGTAGAATAAACCCCTTCAGGATGATGCAAGACGTCCTGATCACCCTGTCAGGGTTTATTTTCCGATAACAACCGGCTGAATGTACATTATACCATACATAACATACCGCTGGATGGCACAATTGACCAATCAGAATCAAGTATTCCACAGAGCCGTGTAATAAGCAAGTTTAATGCTTAGGTTTGTTCAAATCACCAAACTAAGAACTGTACGAGCAATATCATTAGTAAAATTAATTGAGTGAGAAATCATTTGAATAAAATATGCCTTCCCAACCTTTAGTGTACTTGCAGATAAAGTTGTTTTTGGTTTCACAATTGTCGTCATTCCACTGGAACATGTAAGGACCACCCTGACCCGGAGGAGCAGAGGGCTGATGATACATCACTACACACACCTCATACCCACAAGAAGGCTCATCAAAGTGCCAGTTCCTGTCACACACACAAAACAATGAGCAAAAGGACCTACATAGGGAATGCGTCCATCAAATGCAGCTCTCGTCACACCTGAAGGTTGCTTGGCTTCCATCCATCCAGTAGTATTGAGATGGGCAGTCTCCGTTTTTCTCCTCATAGTCTTGATCCCTACGAAGCCCAATCCAAAAGTCACCGTCTGATGCTTTTAGTTCATGGATGAAATTTTCTATCAGTATCTGCTCAGTCTTAGACTCAATACTGAGAAGGTCTCCACCATCACTCCTGCAGGCTCGACTCGCATCTTCAAAGTTGAGTTTACGTCGGCTGTCCTGAAAGTAGGCGATTTTATAGCAGGGCTTCTCAGTACCACGCTTGCATATCTGTTGACCTTAAGAGACACATTATAGATGTTAGAAAAGACAATGGAGTGTAAATATATTGATATTGATTCATCCCATGTACTTTTATTTAAAACACTTAAAGGGATAATTCACCCAAAAATGAAAATTCTGTCATCATTTACTCGCCCTCAAGTTGTTCCAAACCTGTATGAATTTCTTTCTTCTGCTGAACACAAAAGAAGATATTTTGAAGAATATAGGCCAAACAGTTGATGGGTCCCATTGACTTCCATAGTATGGGGGGGAAAAATACTATGAAAGTGCGCCCATCAATTGTTTAGTTACCAGCATTCTTCCAACTATCTTCTTTTGTGTTCAGCATAAGAAATTCATACAGGTTTGGAACTTAATGGTGAGTAAATGATGACAGAATTTTCATTTGTGGGTGAACTATCACTTTAAGATGAATAATTTTGTATTTAGAAAATGAAACAAAAACAAATGTGTTGTGATGTGGGGTGTGTCTCAATCAGCTCCCTAGTTCAGTAGTCAGGGCACTGATTAGGGAGTCGGCCATTTTAAGGGCTGTCTCAATTGAAAAATCCTACTAGTGCACTAAAACGTTCGCTCCCTAAAGAAAATACCCAAAGTGCACTGTGAAAACCAGGGAGCTCACTATGTTCCCCTAATGGAAGTTCTGAAGCGTGAAACATAAATCATGTGAGCCAACTTACCACACACAATGCATGTGATAGATGTTTTTTAAAACCATTATTTAATTATATTCCAGCATAAACATAAAGCATCCAGCATCACTAGGCAGGTAATGAACATAATCTAGCTAAAATTGATAATTTATTTATGGCTGAAATGATGACATGTAACAAGCAAAGTATTTTATCATTATGTACTTTAAATAACATTAAAAAATTATGTTGGAAATATATCAGTTATGGCTTATTGTTTATAAATACCAAATTTACCAATAGTGATGTTGTATGAGGACATTGTCATGTAGCCATAAATACTGTCAAAGTGTCCCAATGTGTAGTAAGTCAGGGTCCTTACTATCCTTAATTCGTGTGCACGATATACTGATCCACGACCTAGGAACCTGGGATTGAGACGCACCCCATATCTCAAAAAGTACATGCAATACTTTCAATGCTAATATAAACCTTAAGAGATGTATTTTTACTATAGGCTACTATGGATGGATTTACTGTACATGAAGTCACAGGGGATGACCCATAGTGCAATGCTTTAGCAGTCTTAAAGTTACAACAGCAATGACTGCACTGAACTCTGAGTGAGACTGAACTCAAGTGCATTGTCAGTACAAAAGGTCAGCTAAATGGCAAAATGGCAATCTTTTTTTCTCGAGAACACAAATTTTTAGTTACATGTTTGATTATTTTTCTAAAAAGCAATGGTTTTTCAGGCAATCAGCAAATCCAGGGTCTCCCAACACGAATAAATAAATCCCTTTCACTAACATTAACATCATGTAGCAGATCATTATTCAATTGAAAAAAGTGCCTTTCCGTGAGAGTGTAAAATGTAAATATTAAAAAAAGACAAATTAAACGTAATGTTTCTTTTATGATAAGGCTACTTTTCGCTCTATGGATACCATATAAATATATAAATGAGATGGGCTATTACTTAATTTAGAGAAAGCATATTGTCTGGGGCAGAACATACCTCTGGGCTCGTAAATGTCTGCACCGCAGGGAGGATGGACAACACATCGGGTTTACAAGTGGTGAAGAGAGAAAACAGCCACTGTTAAAGCATCTTAAGAAGTCACTCACTCCCTGTATTCAAGCATCTAATTCAAATTACTTCAACAGGAAAACGAACGAGTCTGATAGTTAAGTAAGCGAAAACAACAACAAAGTCAATGAACCTTTCTCATATTATAAAGAACCCCTGTCAAAAGGGCACATGCTGTAAAGTAGGCTAATTATATACAATCTGACTTGTTCAATTTAGCAAGGTTTTCCTCCAAATATTACTACATAGCCTATATTTCAATATTTTAAAGTAGGTTAGTCGACTCGAATGTAACATTTTCTTTCTTAAATGTGCAACTCACCGCCTATAATCTTTGACGCCCACGCGGAGATGCTGAATAAAACCAAAACGCAGGCACATTTTCTCATCAGTTCCATTTTTATCACCTTTGATCAAACTTCCATGGGTCTTAAAAGTAATTTCACGAAGACAACGGGATTCCGAGAAAATAAAAAAAGGAACATCCAACCCAGGGGGGGCATCATCCAGTAGAAAACGAATCACCTGTCCCGTTATCCGCTGAAATCTTTGTGAGCATCCAGAGAGGCAGCTCAGAGTGAGACGAGGGCGCGTGACTGAACGCGAACGTATGAACACATACGATCATAACACGTCACCAACTGACAGTAGGCTAACTAACACGCCATGGGCTTTTATTTGTAGATATGAACAAATTCCGTAACAGTTTACAAGTAGGCTATATTATGCCTAACGATCTTCTTCAGATAAAGTGTTAAAAAACAACAAACATTTTTTTATGATGTAGCCTACACATAGGCCTGCTCTAGGTACAAGTAGACTAAACTTCTTGAACATTTGTCTACTATGGTAAAAAGACATGTTCTTCATGGACTAGTCTTTAATTTCATCAATATGTTTACTGGAGCTTCAGAACTTCTTTCTGGTCCTCGTCCACAGGTGATGAAAGTGTCTCTGGAGCCAATCTAATAAAAAAAACACATAAATGATTTCAAGGTTTTCAAAATTGAAATTAGTTTAGGTAACACTTTATTTTACAGTGCCTTTGTTACACATGTTACATTTACTATAGTAATAAATTATGCATAACATCCATTGTATGCAACTAATCCTATTCCTAACCCTAAAGTAGGCTACATGTTGTAGTAGGCTAATTACACTGTAATGACACATTGAAATAAAGTGTAACTATATAAAACATTATTTTATATTCTTTTATACAAAATTCTTAATGCATTTTCTGTTTTGCATTGTATTTAGTTGCAGCAAACAAGTTAATCTCAGCATTATCATAATATGTGTCATGCTTGCACATTTAACTTGATATTGCTAGAAACCAATCTGCTGCACAGGCTAATTAAAGTCTTCCTACATGACATTAGGTAAGGATTTTGCAATGATGCATTTATCAGAAAGGGAATTGTTTTGGATAATAGGGTAGGCAATCAATGCTGGTTTGAGATGTCTGTACAGAGCAGAGCAGAGCAGAAAAGATCAGACAGATTTCAGATCAATAACTAAGCCTCAATATAAGCTTAAGTTGGTTTTCCAATAACCCTTCATCACTCGGTCTGGAGATCAATTTTAGTAGGCTAAGAATCCATATAATAATGAAAATGTTAGAAACTGTAAGATATTTCCCCTCTCTCTCAAGCTTACGTTTACATGTTTAAATTATGCTTGGGGGTGAGGCCCTATGTGGTTTTCCCTTTTATAATTGGATGTGATTTATGCTGTCCGCAGCAGTAAATTACTATTAAGCACACAATTACTATTACTTTATTGAATGCAGTAATACACTGCACTGCACAATCACCTTTAATTATAAAAAGTTTATTGCACTAGTATACCTAAAAGTTGCAGTGATAGATGCAGTGAAAAATAATTTTCTAGATTAAATTATAATCAGGTACAGTGTTAATCTCTGACAGAGAAAAGAAATAACATTTTGTAGAGGTACCTTTTTTTCTACTGGGTTGCCTTTTCTTGGTTTGTGTTGGTAGGAAATCATCTCCTTCTGTTGAATAAACATATTAATTCAGCATGATATTAAATACAATATGACACACACACACACACACACACATATTGTTTTTTCTGTTTTATGATTACTCCACGGAAAACATTGAATATAACGTTTTTATATAAAAATATATATAATTTCCTTTTCCAAAATTGTGTCCCCACAACATCGATGTTTGTTTGATCAAACATACAGTAAAAACAAAAATATAATGTAATATAAAAATATTATTACAAATTAAAACATTGTTTTCTACTTCAATATACAGTATATGTTTTAAATAATATTTTTCATTGTCACATGATCCTTCAGAAATCATTCTTATATGCTGATTTGGCGCTGAATAAATATCAATAAATATGTATTATCATCATCATACTTTTTACTATTATTTCTTATATATTTTTTAACAGAATAAATGTCTTTACTGTAACCTTTGATTGATTTTAATCCATCCTTGCTGAATAAAAGTCTTAAAATCTTTAATAAAAGACCCCAAACTTTTGAACTGTACTGGTAGTATTGTTTAATCATTTTTTGGGGGCTGGGATGTGTTGTTATCCATCTCAGTTTTGGCTGTAAAATATACAGTTTTCAAGTTTTAAGTTAATACATACAGGGGTTGGACAATGAAACTGAAACACCTGGTTTTAGACCACAATCATTTATTAGTATGGTGTAGGGCCTCCTTTTGCAGCCAATACAGCATCAATTTGTCTTGGAAATTACAAATACAAGTCCTTCTGTAATGAAGATTTGATAGCTAGGACTGTAATTGTAGCTAGTCGGGATAAGTGACCACTGTGGTGCATCGGTAAGAATGCAACTGAATGCTCTTCTTCTCTTCAAGGGATTTATTGACAGCTAACAGATGATTGTCTGTCTTCGTAATTGTACAGTATATGTGTGTGGTTCTATAATAAACAATAAAGAAAAAGAAAATATCAGCATACAAGTAAACAACAGTGCTGTCAGGATGCTATTAGTAAAGCTAATAAATAGTATTAGTATAATTTTCCCTTCAAGTAGCTTTAGCTGTTTATATCAAATAACCAAATAATATACTAACACACATTAGCTGCTTATTAAATTAAAGAACAGCCTTCTTATGGCTGGGTCTCAGTAACAGCAACCCAAAAACATAGTTCTCTACACCACAATCATTGTAAACACTCCAATAATAACTATACAATATCAGGTAAATACACACATAAGCACAATAGTAGTGTAACTAATAATACTAGGCATTAGCATGATGCTAGCGAAATATATGCTAACATACTGAGTACCTCAGAATAAACACTCATAAAAAACCTAATACACCAAAAATACACATATGTAAACATTTTACCAGGGTACTCACATGTTTCTGAACGCACACCTGCACAGATAGTAACACAGATGACAACTATTTACTTCAGAAATATCTACAATGTGATTCCCGGCAACTCTCACTACTGACTCAAAACTAAACTTATCAGTCAGCGCAAACATGTGTCCTCCCCGTGACCCCAAAACAAAGGCGCTGATTGGCTAATCCTCGTTTCCCCGAACATTAATAACGGGTCCTTCTTCACAGCCGCCCCCAAATTTGCACTGTCAAATTTGCTGTCCCATAGAAGGACCGGTGGTCTCAGGTACCGTCTCAGGTATGGCAGGAAGTGGGACAAGAAGGGCAACTGGCCGGGTGTAGTTTCTGTTGTTAACCTGGATCTCCGCTGCCCTTATCCTCCCATCTGCACCTGGGATTACCTTTGTGATGCGGCCAATAGGCCAGTGTGCCCTCGGGAGCTGTGGGTCAACGATCATGGTGACAGCACCAGGTTGTAGTGGGGCTACTTCTTTCTGCCACTTGGTACGCGTCTGCAGGGCAGGAAGATAGTGCCTAATAAATATCCTCCAGAATTGGTCGGCAAGGACCTGCGTATGTCTCCAGCGGCGGCGGCTCAACAGCTCGGACTCCAGATACAACACCTGGGGCAGCGATGGGTCGGGCCGCCCCATCACAAGCAGATTGGGGGTTACTGGGTCAGGGTCTGCGATGCACTGGATACATACCCCAAGGGCTTAGAGTTTAGGATGCCCTCTATCTCGATCAGGACCGTGCGCAGGACTTCTTCTGTCACAGTCTGCATCTGGATTGTGGCATACAGGGCAGCTTTGATAGATTTTATTTCCCTCTCCCATGTACCACCAAAGTGAGGCGCACTTGGAGGGTTGAATCTGAACTTGATCTGATGTTTGGCCAGTTCTGCCTGTAGAGTGGGGTGAAGTGCCTTGAAAGACTCGTGGATTTCCCTCTCACCTCCTCTGAAATTTGTGCCCTGATCCGACAGAAGCTCCGCTGGTTTTCCCCTGCGTGAGATGAATCTGCGGAGGGCCATCAGAAAGGAATCCTGGTCTAAACTAGTCAGGACGTCTATGTAGACAGCTCGGGTAGTAAGGCACTTAAATAAGATACCCCAACGCTTCTCATTACGCCGTCCGATTCTGACCATGAAGGGCCCAAAACAATCCGTTCCTGTAAAAGGGGTGGTTTCATCAACCGCAGGCGGGCGAGAGGTAAGTCTGCCATCTGTGGCACTGCAGGCTTCGCTCTCCATCTCTGACAATCAGGGCAGGAGTGCTGGTGCCGCTTCACAGCTTCTCTTCCACGAAGGATCCAGTACCGTCTGCGATGTTCTGCAAAGAGTCGCTCTGAGCCTGGATGACGGAGGTCTCGGTCAGCATCTTGAATGATGAGTTTAGCCACCTGGTGAGCTGGGTCCAGAACTATGGGGTGAATGGCTTCTGTGTCCAGCAAGTCACTGCGACGCAATCTGCCTCAAACCCGGATCAGCTTCAGTTGGTCATCATATTCAGGGGCTAATGTGATCAAACGGCTGGTGAAAGGGACAGGTTTTCCTTCTGAGAGGTGTTGAAAGTCCTCCTCGAAGCAGTCTACCTGGACTTTTCTTAGTAGATCTCTCTCAGCATCCTGGTAGTCTTGTGCAGTTGGCATTGACTGGCTACCTGTCGCCCCGTGACAGGACCTCACAACCGCCTCTATCATGTCCCTGAAACCATTGAATTGGCTGGCATCAAGTGAAGGCGAAGAAGGAGCAGTGGTGATAGAGCCGCAAAATGTGGCCTTGCGAAGCTCTGTGGCATCCAACTGCTCAGTCTCTGGCTTAGTAGGCCAGTGGGTAGATGACAAGCACAAAAATGCTGGGCCGTGCTTCCACCGGCTCTCCCCTGCCAGCTCCATTAGGGTCTTCCCACGCGTAATGTCATCTGGGGGATTATTTGCAGAATCCACGTACCTCCATGCGTGGGCCTCAGTCAGCTCCTGGATCTCAGCGACTCTAGTGCCCACAAACACCTTAAACCTACAAGAGTCTGACTGAAGCCACGTGAGAACTGTGGTGGAGTCTGTCCAGAGCACCACTTCACTAAGTACCAGGGTGAGTTCACGCTGTAACAGCATTGCTAACTGAGCTCCAGTCACCGCGGCACATAACTCTAATCGCGGTATCGACTGCTGGCGCTTGGGAGCCACTCTCGACCGTGCAGTCAGAAAGGCCACCTCCACCTC